GGACGCTTAACCGACTGCGCCACCCAGGCGCCCCTCTAGATTTCTTATCTAGAGATGTTCTCCGGCCATAATTTCTACTGTCTCTCCCAATTACAGTCTATGTATCTCTGTACAGAAATTCCGTTTGAGAGCTAGGACTTCTACTTCCTGTGGTTTATTTTTGTCCATAGAACACGTTTGCATTTAACGTGTCTTCTGGGCTGTCAGCCTTGTAGCTTCGCCATCACATGCCTGGCAGCAGTTAGCTCACCCTGCACAGTTTCCTCTGTTGCCTGAGCAGCCGGGCTTGGTCCTTGGCAGCAAGCATCTGGGGGCACAGAACTGCCTCTCTGGCTCTGTTTCCAAAAGAAGAAACCTGCCTCCTGTGTCTTCCCAACTACCTGCCCGAGCCACCATGTCTGTATTCGTAGCTGTGTCCATGGCTAGTCAGCCCTTGCTGGAAGTATGGCCGTTTCCACCGAGAGAGCTTTCTATGTAAGTGGTACCTTGACCATCTGGCTGTCGCCTTCCTGCCTGGCCCTTGTCAGATTTCTTTACCACAAAAAGCCGTTCCATATTTGCAAAGGCTTTTCATTTCTGCTTTCCAATTTCCTTTTTTTTTTTTTTTTTTTTTTTTTTTTTTTTTTTTTAATTTCCGGGGTTTGCCCTCTTTAACTATGTCATCTTTTCTTCCCCCAATTCCAACATTTTATGTAAGTCCGTAAGATTGGGTAGACTTAACGGTTAGATGAAATCTACAATTTCATGGAAGGAATGTTGAGATTTGGAGCTTAACATCCCAAACGAGATAGGGGGCTAAAAAGAAAAAAAAGAGGCAGAGAGGGGGAAAGGAGTTCATGTAAAGAGAAATCAGATGGGAGAGAGATCATGGGAGACACAGGAATTTCTGAATAGGGCATTTTAGTAAAAAATAAACTAAACTAAAATGTTTCTGTGACATTGACTCTTCATATGAATTATGAGTATTTTGGAAATTACCGTATCTTATTACTGACTTTTGTCTTATGTTTCTCTAGCAATATGAACCTGGCATTTCTTCAGCAGGAAATGCTTGTCAGTTTTATTTTTAAATATCAAAGACTATTTTTAAAGTAAAACATTCATTTTCACTTAGAATTCTTACAGTTTTTCCCAGGAAAGTTGTGGTCAATCTATTCCTTGGACAAACAAGGCCAGCCAACTGTGCTGGTCATTCTTTACCCACTGCAAGCCCCGTGGCCGTTCTGTTTGGAGCTACTTATTTCAAGGTTTTAATACCATTTGTTTCTGGATTTTGTTTTGTCTTCTCTTCCATCCAGTGGAGACCGGTTAGATGAACCACAAGGCTAATTGCTTCAATGAATGGGATTGTGAGCAAACAAGTGTAGATGACCCAAAGAGTTGCCCTTTTGTCTGAGCTCTGACCTCATCACTTGGCCCCATGTCTAGCAGCCCTGGACAGAGCTGTCCTTGAACCTTTAACCAGAACCCCTAGCTCCGTGAACCCCGCTGGGACTGCTCTTCAGAAAAGCATGATCAAGATCACATTTGGGTGCCTATGGAGAGCCAGCTGCAGTCACTCATCCTAGCCCATCACAGACACTGGTCACCTCACCACAGCCAGATATTTAGCTTAATTGACAAAGAACCAAACCAGTATTTCTGCCTCAGAGTAGCTAAAAAAATTTTTAAGTTTGTTTATTTTGAGAGAGAGAGAGAGAGAGAGAGAGAGAGAGAGCACAAGCAGAGGAGGGGCAGAGAGAGAGAGGGAGAGAGAGAGAGAGAAGAGAATCCTAATCAGGTTCTTCACTGTCAGTGCGGAGCCCCATGTGGAGCTTGAACCCACGAACCATGAGATCACAACCTGAGCCGAAACCAAGAGTCAGACGCTCAACCTACTGAGCCACCCAGGTGCCCTGAGTAGCTGAATTTTTTGATTGAACTCAATAGCGTTTTGTTCAGTTTGGTCAGGAACAAAACTGAGTGGTTTCTGCATTAAATTTTCCAATTATATTTCTGTTATCATCCCTGGATACCTCATCTCATAATGGTGAAAGGCAAAAACAAAAGAACAGAAAAATAAGAAACCACCTTATCTTTTGGTGCCAACTAGTTTCAATATAATTGTATCAGTTATATATCTTATTTCCTTTAATTAGTTGGCTTGAATGTGTTCTTTGATTTCAAACCTATTTTCCCAGGAGAAGTAGCACTTCTTCTATACGTGGAAGAAGACACAGGTTCTTTGGGTTCCAAAGAAGCTATTCACAAAAACCCTGCCCATTCACAAAATGAAATCAGTGATGTCCTACCTGAGCTCATTTTCAACCCTGAATCCTTTCCTTCGCGCCAGGTCCATGAGGAAGGCTCTGCGGGTGGTCCCCATTTTCTTCTCCAAAATATAGAGAACCAAATCCCGAAACTTGATGTCATGCGGAGGAGAGACCATTGAGGCCCCCATCTGCCTGGGCCTCTTCTTCCGAGGGCCCGAGTGGGCCATTTGCAAAGGATCCATGGGAAGAAGCTTCTGATGCTTCTGCCTGTGCCATCGATCGGTGTCTCCAGAAGTGAGGGAGAGCCTGCCCTCCTTCGTGAAGAGCTCTGATGTCATCTTACTGGCAGACTCTGATGTCAGGGAAGGGTTTCCTGGGCCCTGCCCTGGTGATAGCTTCCTGCTGAAGAGCAATGGAGAATTTTTATCTCCGTCCAACTCATTTGTTCAATGTGGAGATCGTAACGGAAACAGTAAGTTAACTTCACTTTCCTATGTATAATCTCACCAGATCCTCAGAGTAACCTTGTGAGGAAGGTAGGGAAGCATTATTATTCCCATGTTAGCATCTACCTATTTACGGTTCATTTATTCGTTCGGGACCCTCTTGTCTTTGTCGTCTATTCCTTTTTAACCTTCCAACTTGCTTGGTTCTCTTCCTCTCTTGGGCAATCATTATAATACATTGGATTTCTATAGGTTGTGTGGGTGTTATACGATGCACGCAGTTGTTTTGATTTTACGTGAATGGCATTGCTAAGTTTCTCATTCTGCTGATCACTTTTTTATTCAAAACTATGTTTTCAGTTCCCTCCACGTTGCTCTATGTGCTAATTTGTTCATGATGGACACTTTAGCTATGTTGGTGCATTTTGTAAGTGAGGAAACCAAGTCTCAGTTGACTCAACATCATAGAGTAAAGAGGCAGAACCAGGTCCTGAACTCAGGTTTTCAGACTCCAAATGTTATATATCTCAGTTTTGTCAGTGGATTAAGTTTGCCTGGAGAATAGTCTATTATGTAACTCTAAACTTGGATCTTTTGGGATGGAATGGGATGATCTTTAGATGAGAATTGCTGTCATAAAAAGGCATTTTCATAATTTTATGTGCAAAATAAAAATTAGTATCTCTCATCAATATACTTTATAAATCTCATTTCTTGACCATCTACCAAGTGGCCAGGGCAAGCATCTATAAGCCTTAGCCGATTGAATTTTCATAATACCACTGCCTGGTAGGTGTTGGCATCCCCAGTGAGGTAAACAACTTGCTCAAGGTCACAGAGCTAATAAATGGTTATAGGTAGGAAATTATCAAGCTAAGTTGAACTCAGATCTGTCTGCTTGGCACAGAGGAAGCACTTCAAATAAATGTCATTTGGTAGTAATTTGATGTTTTGTTTTTAGAGAAGAACGAGTTCGATCTGAAATCAGATCTATATGTTTTATAAAACTATTAAATCAACAAAATATGATGTTAACCACTGTCTTATTTAATCTGCTTTGAATCACTGGTATTGAAAAGATCACCAGCAAAAATTTTAAATGCGATGATGGCTGTCTGGTTATCAGGCTATTGTCTATCAGCCCCAAATCCACCTTTCTCTCCTGGGCTTTATGAGGTTGGGGGTGGGACTGTGTAAATGCCATTTCTCAAGGTCAGCGGGCTCCCTGCTAGGCTCTACCAGTAGGAGGCACTAGGGGGACTAAGTCCAAGGCTGGACCCTAACTGATACACTGTCCAATTAAATGAGGCACAGGAGGGGCGCCTGGGTGGCTCAGTCAGTTAAGCGTCCGACTTCAGCTCAGGTCACGATCTCGCGGTCCGCGAGTTCGAGCCCCGCGTCGGGCTCTGGGCTGATGGCTCAGAGTCCGGAACCTGCTTCCGATTCTGTGTCTCCCTCTCTCTCTGCCCCTCCCCCGTTCATGCTGTGTCTCTCTCTGTCTCAAAAATAAATAAACGTTAAAAAAATTTAAAAAAAAGAAATGAGGCACAGGAAATGAGGACCCACCTACACTGCTGGAGGTATATTCCTTCTAAAAGGAACTCTAACAACAACAAAAATCTTTAAGACGTCCAAATCCCCTAAACCAGCATTTCCATTTTTTTAAGAAAGAGAGACACATAAATATGAATGCACTAAGAGGTTCATCACAACATTTTACAGAGAAGACTTAAAAAAAAAAAAACAAACCATGAATGTCCAATAACAGCAGGAGGTGATAAAGTATGACAGGACCCTACGCAGCCACTAAGACCATGTCATAAGGAAATATTGTAAAACATGGGCAAACATTCACAATCTAATAATTGTGAAATCAGTGTATAAAATAGTAGTTACTGTATGACATCAGTTTTGAAAGAGAAGACTAGAGAAGTATATGGCAAGCTTAATATAATAGTAGATATCGCTGTTTGTAGGGTTTATGCATGATTTCTATTTGTGCTTTTCTGTGTTTTACCAATTCTCTATAATAAACATGAGTCATGTTTGCCACCACAAACACAGACAACTTAGAAAAATTACCTTGAGTTGACACCAGGTGGCCTTATGCAAGCTATGATTCAAAGGTAGGAGGTTGCTCAGAGTAAGCTAAATGGCAATGGATTGTGTTTTCTGCTAATTACACACAGGGCTGAGGGACAAACGCTTTTACATTTTGTGTAAAATCCCATCTTTCTACCAGGCAAGACCCCACTGAGGAATGGACGGGGCTGTGTTATCCTGCTTGGTTTAGATAACTTACTGAAGCTGAATCTGGGGAGGGGATCTGTGGCTTCTACGTCCTTTTTCCTGCCTCTGAGGGTCCCTTCCAGGGATATCATGTAACCTGTGCTAGGATGACAGTTATGAGAGCTGAGGCCATTGTCATGGCAGGAGGAAGGGAGGCGTGAAGCCCCTTGGCCTCACCTTAAAACGGGGCTGAGCCGGGGCGCCTGGGTGGCGCAGTTGGTTAAGCGTCCGACTTCAGCCAGGTCACGATCTCGCGGTCCGCGAGTTTGAGCCCCGCATCGGGCTCTGGGCTGATGGCTCAGAGCCTGGAGCCTGTTTCCGATTCTGTGTCTCCCTCTCTCTCTGCCCCTCCCCCGTTCATGCTCTGTCTCTCTCTGTCCCAAAAATAAATAAACGTTGAAAAAAAAAAATTAAAAAAAAAAAAAAAAACGGGGCTGAGCCTACCAAAGTCTCATCATTTCAGGAATTAAATTAAATCATGCTCACGAAAGTGCCTGGGAAATCACGAACCACTGTACAAAGGTCAATTGCTATTGTTATTCTCACTGGCATTGCTGCTAATGGCAGGAATTGATTAATTTCTTCTTACTGAGCCATCATCTTCTGGAGCTATTTGCACCAGGTGTTGAGCACGCCCTTGGTCCAGTGTATGGGGTCATTCAGCTCCAAATCTCAGTGGCTTAACACGACACAAGTTTATTTTCTCTGACGACATTTTTTTGGGTAGAGGATTCTCCTTCACTCAAGACTCAGACTGATGGAAGCTTCACATTTTTGTACCTGGACTACTTGGACTATGAGGTTGTCTTGGTCACCGTGGCAGAGAAGAGGGCACTGGGGATCTTGCATTAGCAATTAAATGCTTTGTCTCAAAAATGATATACATGACTGCTGTTTATAGCCCTGGTCAGAACTAGTCACATGGCCCCACCTAAATGCATCAGGGCTTGGAAATGCAGGGGAGCACAGGGGAATTGGGGGCAGCTTTCCTGTTCCTGCTACGCCCAGGATCAAGGTATTGATTAGTTTTGGAGACTCCCTATCAAGGGGATGTTACTGCATCTGCACTAAAGCCACAGCAGAGTTTATGGAGGACGATAGCCCTGCACTTGCTAGAGGAGAAGCTCAAGAGAAGGACCACACTGTACAGTGGTCAGGCCATTCTAGGGCCTTCCTTGAATTCCAAGCTGTGGTCCTGGGGACAGGAAGATCTGATCTCTCTAAAACACCTCCATACCAACTGTTCCTCCTTTCAAGTGGCATATAGGGAGGGACGTCCTTTATAAAGTGTCAAAGCTATCCTAAATTCGGATCAGGTGCCTCCCTGCCTGCCCAGTCTTCTGGGCCACTTTGCCCATAAGAGCATGTGTCACTCTGTATTGCAACGCTCTAATCCCCTGTGTGTACCTGGACTTATTATAGTCCAGTGGGGCAGGAGTCATATAGGTTGTATTCACGTCTGAGTCCTCAGCATCTAACACAACACCTTGTTCAGTAGGCACCAGTTAGTGTAGAATAAGCTAGAAACCAAATGTAAGTTGATGTTATTATTATTATTAAACTTCTATGCTGTTTGGGTAACTATGATATGAATCTTCTGCCATGACCGCCCTTCTCCACCCTAGAAGTTCCCAACTAAATGCCTCTCCAAAATGAGCGAGTATAATATAGTTGTTAGGGAGCCAGACTGCCTGAATTCAACACCCAGACATTTATGAGCTGTGTGACTTCGGGCAAGTTACCAGACCTCTCTATGCCTCAATTCCCTCATCTGTGCAATGAGGATTATAATGATTTCTATCTTAACGGTGGTTATGAGGACTGAATAAGCACTTCAAAGAGTGCTGGCATGCAACAAGTCCTCAGAAGTGTCCACTGTGAGTAGAACAGCTCAGCCGTCTTGTTCCGCTTCCCTCCTCTGTCCCTCCCTGTCCTGTCTCTGCGTCCCCATACACTTGAGAGGTATCTTCTCAGAGTACTTCCCTCTGGCCTTTTGGTTTCCCTAGACTCTTTCAATAGTGGTGTCAGGCCCACTCAAGAACAGACTCAGGATCTCAGAGACCAAAGGGGTGCCCTGCTATGATTCCCAACATGGGTTCCAAGGAACACAAGTCTCACGCAGTGTTCTGGGCAAAACGAAAAGTTCTGCAGTGAATTAGGGGCACCTGGGTAGCTCAGTCAGTTGAGCGTCCAACTTCGGCTCGGGTCACGATCTCGCAGTTGGTGAGTTCGAGCCCCACATCCAGCTCACTGCTGTCAGACTGTCAGCACAGAGCCCTCTTTGGATCCTCTGTTCCCCTCTCTCTGTCCCTCTCCCGTTTGCGCTGTCCCCAAAATAAATAAATGGTCAGAAAAAGTTCTGTAGTGAATTAAGTTTAGGAAAGCCAGACGAACTATACAATTTGTGTTAGAACATTAACGTTTTCAAGAAGACTTGCAGTAAAGAAACCTCTTAAATTGTGTTTAGCCCGATGTATTCCCAGGTTGCCTGTATTTTTGTTTGTTCA